CTTCCGTTTATGAATAATATGTGGTGTCTGAGAACCTCTTTTGATTGAGATACTTTTGAACTATTTTCAAACGTATTTTGAGAACTTATGGTCGAATGATTGGTTTTGGATATTCATAAAGGTTTTGTCTATTGAATATCATGTGCATGCTATATTGTTTAGCAAATAATAATGTGGAGTTGGGTTCTGAAAGGTTAACGAAAACCATGTGAACAACCAGATATGACTTGGGTTGATGTTTAGTGTTGAATAACGCCCATGATTTCGAAAATGAGTTTCAAAAATTTTTATACTGATTTTTGGAAAGTCCGGAATTTCTTTAAATCAAAGTGGGGTGTTACAACTGTGGCCTGAGTAGGAACCGTGTGATCGGGTTCCCTACGGGGCGGCATCTGAACATTAAGAAAGTTCAACATTATTGAACACGTGATAATATTCTGTCTGATTACTAAGGCACACAAATCTCTTGACGAGTTGCCAAAAATGGCCGATAAAATACTGACATGAATCCTGAGGAACTCTAGAGTCATGTCGGAAAATACTAAATTCTAGAGTCATATCTGAATTCTAAAGTCTGATCCTGATTCGAGCATCTTAAGTAAGTCCTGATCCATAATTTCTGAGCATAGGCAAAGTAATATGTTTATAACTAAAAACATAAATCAGCACTTACCTGTTGTCAGCGAGGCGTGAGCATGACGGTTCAGGTTTTTCTGAAAATTACTGACTAAAAAACTTTTCAGAGACGCAGAAACGTGCTCTGATACCAATTGTAACACCCCGCCTTATCGTGAAATCAGAGTGCGTAACTTTCGCAAAGTTATTAAAAATAAAATCTTTTGATTTGCGAAAACTGATTCGGGGTGTTACCGTAAAACGTAACTTATTCGTAAAAACCGTTAATTTAATTTTTAACAAAATCTACGGTTTACTGAAAAACATTAATTATATGAAAGACTGATCAAAAGACAAGTTCGTCAAGTCAAACTCAGCGGAAACGTAGTATCGTCAAAATATATATACAGTCACAACATAAAAATCCTGAAGCATCCGTCATCTCACGCTCCCGGCCCGACATCCTGACCTGAAAAATATGATAAAAATGGGTCGTGAGCACTATAACACTGTGCTCCGTGGAAACTCATACTAATGTAAACATTGAAAATAATAACAACATCATGATCTTGGAATATACATAACCTGAACATGAAACCGG